TAAGCGAGCAATGCCGCAAAGCCGTACGCAACCGCTTTCAGTGAAGATTCCCACGCCGACCAACTTCGCGCTATTTTGCATTGCGTACCTCGAACCCACTCGGGTTATTTTGCATTATGACTACGGCTACAGGTGAATAATCGCGTATATAATAATCGCATACGATCGTATATAATGTATTTTATAGCAGATACAATATAAAAAGCGCTTGAATATGGCTGAAAATGAAGGAGAGACTTCTTCATATAAAGAGACGCGTATCGACGCGTCTTTAACGCGTCCTCTATGCGTGGTGGCGCCGTCATTTGCATGTGAGTGGTGGTGGATAGCGGAGTTTTAAATTAAAATCAATTGGACCTTATATGCCGTTCGATGCCGCTTTTGCATCCATCACGTTGGGCATTGTGGTTTTGATTGATGGTTTTCTCTCTTGTCCTTAACACTCATGTAGGTACTTAAGTCGTTCGCAGTTTGTAGATAGTTTATGCAGTTCAAAAGTACAGTACGCTGTAGTTCCTCAAAAATTAACCCATCTATGTATCACCATATGTCGGAATAAACGACGCGCTTTGACGAATAAAGGATACGCTTTGACCCTTGCCATTGTTTATAAAGTAGGTGGCAAAGGCCCTAAAAAAGCGTTGACTGACCTTTTCGTTGCCTTAGACGACGATGGTGCTGCTCCCGTGACTCAAGCAGCCTCAGAAGCAACAAATCAAGGAGCGCGCCAACCTCCGTCCCGTGCTGGTGCCCGGGCCTTCGATTCCCCATCCACTGCAGCGTAAAGGGAAACACCCCATTCTCTTCGGGCCTCAGAACAGTACGCTAGTCCAAACACTGCTGCCACCCCTTATTCCAGACGAAGAGGAAGAGGAGTACGACGACGACGACGATCCCCTACCCTCGGATTTCCCGGACGTGCCGGAGTCTTTTTTGGACGATGTGGCTGATGACGATGGCCAAGACGACGACGAGATCGGGACTTCACCGCGTAAACGCGCCAGGGCTCCTCGTTCCCCTGAGAAGCGTCATCGCGTGGCGCGCACGTCGCAAACGGAAATGTGGTCCCGCACCGTGGTCCCCGAGTTGGTGCCGATTTTCATGGACCTTTTTCGGAAGACAAGATCTTGGCGGGACATGGACACGCTGGGTGAACGCGGCGCGCATCAATGCTCGTGCCCAACGGACGGCGCGTTGCTCAAGGTCGCAGTCCTGACTTTCACGAGTGAGTAAATATCTATCCTCACGCAGGTGACTTCACTAAGGAAACTACAGAAATGTACGACCTGGAGATTACGCCCTGCAAGTGCTGGTCGGCACCGCGCCAGCTGCTAGAGCAGGGCTGTTTCCATCCGCTCCACAACGGCCAGGGCTAGCGGTCGACGTACGCCTTCTCGAATTCACGCGCAAATTATTCGTCCGGATCGCACCAAACAAGAGTGCCATGGTGGGCGCGCTGGAAGAGCACCTGGGCGATTTAGGCTTCAAACTGCCGCACGACGTATGTATTTCATTATCCGTTGCTATCGCACGTATTAAGGTCATACAGGATTCTATGCAGCGCCAATTTCCGGCTTGCCTCGAATGGTATACGCATCTTCGCGACAGAGTCGATGCGCACGTCGACCGAGTCCTCGAAGTCACTCGGAAGTGCCAGCTGTCGGCGAACACGGTGGAGGATGACGATCCGGAGCACGATCCCCGCTCTATACCATCGGCTCAGGGTAATGCGCAGTCCCCTCCAGCACACCCCCACCACGACCTCAGGCGTCGCCGACGCCCGGGGAAAACGGAAGCGGGAAAGTACGCCTGAAGAAGAGGAGAATCCTTTCCCGATGCGGAGGCACGGGCGCGACCGAGCGAATATTTGCGCACGCTGTCCGGCGTGTTTCGGTGGGGACTTCAAGCGCGGCGCTGGTGATACGGGAGATATGTAAGTGATACTGGCCTTTCCGCGATGTGCGCTCGCTGAACCTACTTGGATCAGGCCTGATATCAAGGTTTGCGTCGACGCCTGCTTCACTCAGAAAAAGCGCAAGAGCGTACCAGATCCGCCGAAAAGCCACCCGCATACACGTTTCGTGCCGGAGGAGCAAAGCGAGTTGATGGAGAAGTTTGTGGACGCGGTGCGTGGTACGGAGAAGCCGAAACGCGCCAAAGGCGAAAGGCGCACGTAGAAGAAGAGGAAGACGAGGACGAACGGGACGTCGTACAGCCAGATGATGACGAGGACGGTTATGAGCACCGGCCCTTCGTCTTCCACGAGTGTCCTCGACTCGTGCGAGGCATCCTTCAAGGCTGCGGACGAGAAGCGGGCGAAGGCGAGCACCAAGCTGCACGACGACACGGCGCTCATGGCGTTGTTGTGTCGCCATGAGCGAGTCTTGTGGATCGTGAACATGCATTCCGCCGGGGAGAAGCAATTCCCCGTACTCCTACTCATCGAGACGCTGTATCAGCATCTACCGCTTTGGTTTGTCGTAGGCCTGCTGTACGACATCGCATGCCAACTCGAGCGATCTGCGCGCAAGTGGGGATTCCTGGATCGCTACCTGGACCGCCTGATCTTCGCGGTGGCGGTCTTTCATGCGTTCGGACACGATTGGCCTTGCCAGCTCCTCTATCACCCCCGCAAGCGAAGAGGATTCGGGTTCACGAACGGCGAGGGATGTGAGCGCTTCTGGCACTCAATCAGTCATCTCATCGCCCATTTGCGGGTGTCCAGCGTGAGTTATTCGGCTTTCTATTGAATTTTGCGTTTGCTCATATGCGGTTCGCAGTATCATCATCGTTTATATACGCTCGACACGCAAGTGAAGCACTCGGACGAAGGGAACCTCTTCCGCCTGGCGGAGTGGAACAAACGGTGGGCACTGCACAGCGCGGAGAAACGGGCCGCTGCGGAGATAGTCATTGCAGAGTGTGGAGTCTCACTTACCGTCCTGCAAGAGCAGTGGGAGAAGCAGGTGAAGGCGCAGACCAAGCCGCTGGCACGTACGTACCTCCTGCGGTCTTCCTTTCTTTCAAGGCGATGGCACTGACTTGTATCCCAGGTCGATCAAAGAATATGGCGCAGAAGGCGATCGAGGTCGTAATGAATCTTCGCGACGCTGTAGCCATCCGAAAGGAACAGTTGGCTGCCTGCCGGCTCGCCGCCCTGGAAGCCATCGAGGCAGAGGACAGCATTCGGATCCAGGAGACCAAAGAAGATAGGAGGAAAGCGCAGGCGGAGCTAACGAAGATGGAGAAGCGGCTCGAGAAGAAGGTTCGCGCCCTGGGCGTGGAGGACAGGAAGCAGCTGAACAACGTCAAGACGACGAAGTATTTAGAGTTACGCATGCGATGCGCTCATTGAAGCGTCGTTTGCGCGATCGATTGCGCCGCGCAAATTCGAGTTGGACCGGGTGGAACGGTCGGCACACGCCAGCTCGCATCGGGTAGGTGCTCCCTCTGGCTGCGATGACCGAAGCTTATTAGGTGTTGCTTTTTCAGAGAAAAAACTAGGCTCGCATACACTCTCCGCAATCAAGAAACGCGAGCCCAGTATCGCCAAGTTATATAAAGAATACAACAAGTCGTGCGACGCCATCGTCAAGCTGATCAAGGCCAAGGCAGCACGCGGGGGTGATTGCCCCAGAGCGCATTGACGAAAAGAAGGTCTGGGAGCTGGACGTGGACGACAGCGTGTGGCAGGATGTGGGGCTCGACGACGATGACGATGAGCCACCGTTGTGGCTGAGCAATGACGGGGTGAGGAAGGGGATTCCGGCGATGCTGGATTTGGAGCGGTCAAGGAGGAAGATCTGGAGCTGGCCAAGGAGCACCGGGCCATGCAGCTCTGGTTTTCAGAGTGGGAGATCGTAAAGGTTGCGATGGACCGTGCCGGTACGTTATTCAATGCGGATGTCCGAGCCATCGCTGACACAGTTCTTTAGACACGGAGGGTCTGCGCTACAGTCTGTACCTCCGTCGCGAGCGTCTGCTACGCCTGTGCGCAACGTGGCGGCGATCGATAGGCAACGACAAAACGCTGCCCGAGTGGGGGCCGACCACAGAGGAGCTTCTCGCTGTCCGTTTAGAACAGCAGACGGCGGCGCGAGGAGAAGATGGCTACGCCAGTGAAGATGAAGAGGATGAGTACGAGAGCGAGGCCGACGCCAACATGGAGGACATCGAAGTCTTGGACACGCTTAACACTGCGGACGTTTACAGAGGGTTGTACGAGGACTCAGACGAAGAACTTACAGATTAAATTAAGATGTATATGATACAGTTGTAGTTAATGTAGATTGATTCGTATTGATTCTACACGCAAAGACGCGCAAAGACTGATGTGTACGGTAGTTTAGTCAATTAATTTTTGTTATGATTCTACATCCATTGCCGCTATGAAGACAATCAGCGACAAGGTCAAGCAGAAGTCACGACATGGACTTGGAAGGGATGAAAGGGTGAGCGCCTTTCCATTGACTTAAATAGACTCTGATTGAACTCGAGACTTGACAGTGTGTGGTCGGACTCGGGTCTACCAAATAAAAACTAAAGTTAGTGAAGGCAATGCACAGAGGTTCACGTGCTGATGAAACGCGTGAGATCTGCAATAACAATAAAAAAAGAGGTAGGTAACACGAAGCATTTAATTTGAAGAGTGAAGACCGACTTAGAAGACCTCAATGACGCCCTGCCGTGGAATGAGTTTTATTGATTCTGCGGGCGCAAAGACTGGGTATACATAGTGGTTTAATTAATTATCTTTTCTGCTTTCATTGTACATTCAAAGAAAAACATTCCAAAAAATTAATCTCTGACTTGAAACACCTCCGGCGCGGATCGAACACACAATGCCTCACATAAACCAAATGACGGACTGAATTAAGGTGAGGGGTGTTACCTTTACACCACGGAGGCGTTAATGTTGTAGAGTAGAGAAACGCAAAAAAATAAGCATCATGTCCTATTTCCTCATCTATGATGAGGAAAAAAGGAAAGTTGACTGGTATTACCTCCGGCGCAGCTCGAACGCACAACTCCTCACTATTAAATCGAAATGCATTCATTATAATGAGGGATGTTACCATTACACCACAGAGGTAGACAACAGGAATGAAATTTCATCAGTCAAACTAGTGTTTCACTCTCTCGCTTTGATGGAAAGTTTGTTTTGATGATGATGTTGATCTTTTTGTAATGCACTTTTGGCATCCATGTCAATTGTGCTTGGTGCAAGATGTTGCATAAAAAATAAAATAAAAATAAAGAAAGAATATATCAAACAAATATCAGTTCCACCCAAAACAAGAAATATGTGAACAAACAAGCAGCCTTCTATGGCATTTCACCAACTTCCTATTTTTTATTGCACCAGGTCAAATGAATGTACACCTTAAAAGCTTACTGTGATGGAATCTTTATATTTAAATACATGAAGCCAAAAAGACAATAACACATATGAGGGAAAGGAATCCGTATACTGTCCATATTTCCCAAATTCAGAAGGGAACCATGTTGCCTTTCCGTACTAGCCAGAGCTCATCCTTTCCGATCTCAGCTGTGAGGGGGTGTCAGGTAGCTCAAAAAAAAGTCTGATGGCATTTGAGATTTCCATCTATCTCGGAAGGCTTCCACCTTTAGAATTGGGAGCTCCCAGGGCCTCCCAGGTCCATAACAGGGAGCCTTCCAAAGCTTCCAAGAAATAACAGTTGTAACAGAAAATACTAAATACTGAGAAAGTGGGAGCTCCCAGGGGCTCCCAGGTCCATTAACTGGGAGCCTTCCAAAGCTTCCAAGTGATAACAGGCAAGAGGAAAAACAAGGAAGTGGGAGCTCCTGGGAGCTCCCAGCAAACACATGCGGTAGAGAAGGGAGCTCCTGCTAAGACATGTGGGAGCCCCCAGGGACTAATGCAGGAGCCTCCCAGAATAAACTGGGAGTGGGCAGGAACCATCTGTAGAGTAATGGGAGGATTGATGGGAGCATGTGGTAGGATACCGGAAGCTTCCATTTCTGAAGAGGGACAGTGTTAGATAAGAGCTCCTAATAAATACAAGACGACTTTTTCAAACCACATATACAACCAGAGTGTATGTGCCCCTTTTTTGGAAGTGGAATATAGAAAGTGTTCAACAAATCAATTCAATGGAGGAACTGCCAGAATAATGGAGGTACCTACCAAATCAAATGCTGTCAAAACCAGCTTTTATTATGCTTGTATAGAAAACAGAACAGGGTGCTGCAGTGGCCGGTATATAGCTACGATGGGGCTCCTTAAGCAGAGCTACATGGATCACCCATGCCCAAGCCAAACGGTGGAGGAGCGGCCGTAATAATGGGGAGGTACCTACCAAATGCTGCCCAAACCAGCTTTTATTATGCTCGTATAGCAAACAGAACAGGGTGCTGCAGTGGCCGGTAGATAGCTACGATGGAGCTCCATAAGCAGAGCTACATGGATCACCCATGCCCAAGCCAAACGGTGGAGAAACGGCTGCAATAATGCAAATCTTTTCTGGCTGGGCTAGGGGTCCTGGCTGTGGGAGCTGGGAGCCTCTATACTGTCTGGGAGCAGCCTCCCATGTAGTGCCTGGTGGAAGCTCCCATGCTGGAAGTCTCCCTATGGATGGGCACCTGTTAGGGTGGTTATACAGTAGGGCACAACCACCCTATTAGGGTATCTTATAGGTCTGCTGGGGGTGTTTCTTTTCCAGTATAATGAGCCTGCGGCGAAACGACAGACCCGGGCCGCACCGTTAGGTCCTTCCCTTGGCGATGTTTAACCCATTCCGCGTCCGTTGCCGCCTGTACACGACGTATCACCGTCCCCTCCCGCGGATGTGGGTCTTCCGGTCCGAACGTCCCCTTGCGCGTACGATCCAAGACCTCGGCCGGTAACGGTGTTAGCGGCGAGACCAGCGGCATGCCCAGATTAGAAACGCCCCGTCCAGCATCCGAGATCATTGACCGAGGCCAACGGCTGGAAGTAGTCGGGGAAACCGGCGTAGAGTGAGAAGACATTGTCGATGTTAAGCAGAGTGCGTATTCTTCCAATTTACAGATCGTAGGACAATCCGTTAACGTCCCCTCCCTTCTTCCTGCTCCTTTATAGATGTTGTTCCTTGACTCGATTCCCGAAGGCATACAACACACCACATAGGCTATCCGACTTAGAATTGCTAGTAAGGTTACCCAGAAGCATCCAAGGTACCGGTGTTTTCTATTGCATTTGCGATTCTTCGTGCCACCTTCCTTTCCATGTGTCGTATCCTCCTCAATATACTTCGCAGAGTCAACGCCATCGTTTCTTCGTGACTCCCCCTCGCATTGCGATACTTTAAAGCCCTGGAGTTTGGATACTTGTGAGTCAATAGTATACGATAGACTCTGCGCCGCTGACTCGTAGGAAAGGCTTTCCCCTGAATTCTCGTGAGGGATAGCTAAAAGTTCATACCGTGGTCTCCTTGTCTCCCTATCTTTAAATACTAAATATGTCCCTTCATCGCGTTCATCTATGGATACCATATTTCCTTGTTGCCATGGTCGACCTAAGAGCAGCTCAAAAGGAGCTTGTTGAGACACCCACAAGTCCTTCCGAGTTAAAACGCCTCCGCAAGTTAAATCAACGTCACTTATGTATCCTTGTAACTGTCCTTTCCCCCTGTTTGCGTCGCTCATATTCGTTACCCTGCTCATATCCACAGGCTTTTGGACTTTTAATGCTATATCAGCACGTACCACATCCAGCTGTGAGCCGGTATCAACTATTGCGGTAACTTGTCGATTTCCAATCTCCACATCAATTTTAATTAACACTCCTTCTGTTCGCGGCCAATTCCAGTTAGCCACTAACGGGTTCCCAGGCAAACGTCCGATCAGGACTGCTTTTACATTCTTCAATCTAATCGTATCCATTATTCCAGATCGTATTTCTCGTGAGGCTACAACTGCCTCCCGCACCGTCATTGGTATGGTCAAGTCTAAAATCCTATTAATAATTGATGGGAGACTCACTGTACTTTGAATGTCAGATTGTCGTCCACTAGACTTACTGGGAGCTTCCTCGTCCTCATTGAGATCCTTGGCCTCTCTCGGCCTTACTTGCGCATTGGGACTAGGTTTCTTCTCTATTCGCTTCGTGGCGATCTCAGGTGCATCCACCTCCATCTCTTCTATTATTCCTCTCCTCGGAGTTCTAGCATCCACCGGCCTTAATTCTGGGATTAGATCCGCGGTGAGGATGGGTGATTACATCATCCATCGGTCTCTTCCCTGGTGAACTTAACCCGTCCTTCTTTTCAGCTCCCATATGCGGTCGAGGTTTCTCACGCCTAGGTATATGGACGCCATCGAATATTTCTCGTCTAGCTGCGCGCGTACTCGGAAGGGTGCGATCTGCACTGTTAACTTGCAATTTCTTTTCTCGTGATCTCTTTTCTACCCGCGGCATGGTCAAATATACTTCCCCAGGCAATAATTCACTCTCGTCCTCTTCTGATTCCATGGCCTGATACCAATGTGCATCTAAAGCAGTCTCAGACTCGTTTTCTTCCATCAACAGTTCAGAATATTCATCCGAGTCCTCGTCTCCTTCACTCATATTCACATCTTGTTTTTCCCATTGATATACTGATCCTTCTTTTCGTCGCATTGACTCAGTTTTGTCCACTGCAACAAACATCACTCGTGGTGTTGCTATCCTACTTGCCGCTTGAGCGAGACTTTCTCCAGCTAATCGTTTAATAAATGATCCGTCTTTCATTCTTATACGTTTAGTAGTCTCATCCTGACACACAGCATTCTGAGCTATTAATTCTTGAATTTCAGGACACTCACCAATCCGATGACCATCCTTATTACAACCAAAACAACCCGTTGATTCCAAACGCGCAACTCCAGGTGATCCAAGTGGAATATTATTCGGGTAAGTCGCTGGTCCTGCTGCTTGATTTGGGGCTCCAGTTTGATTTGAAAATTATCGCGTCTTTATCGTTCCATTACGTGGTCCTTCCATTCTTTCAGTGACCAACCTTGGAGGTTGGACACACTTCACGGCCATTCCAGTTGTATCGAGTGCTAATACTTTATAGAACACCGGTGGATATTCCGGGTCTGTAATAGACATCTTGTTCAATTGACGAATTAAACCTGACACTTCTTCAGTGGAACTCGCGGTAGACGACTTTCCTGCAGCCGCAGATGCGGTAGTGATTTTAGTTCTTCGTTTCTTGGCTCTCCGTTCTTTCTCTTTCTTTGCCTGAGCCTTTGCACGACGCTTTTGTCGGTACGATTCATAATCTGAGTCTTCACTATCTCCGTCTGAACCTGCCTCATCTGAGTCTTCTTCTGAAGTTCCATCGTCCATTTCTACACCGTAATCTGCTGCATTTATCACCATAGCTTCCGCCCAATTGCGACGGAAAAACCATTCAGCAGCCTCATTGATCTCCTTAACAGTGTATTGCTTACGATTATTGCGAGTGGGATTTGCTTGCGTAATTCTTTGCTCTAACATACGTTGTAGGTCTTGCTCAATTCCTAACAGAAAATATACGTCATAATTTAGCTTTGTAATGTGCCCTTTTTGCAATAACATACCAGCCATTGTTTTATACTTGATAAAATACTTTTTCCACTGAGAGAGATTTTGGAATGGTCGGCTTTGAGTCTTCAAAGTGTATGATGTGATATCACTAGGTTTATATCTAGATGTTGATCGCTCAGCATCGTAACACTTTAGAATTTCCTTTCGTAGTCTCATCCAGTTCTTCACTTGATAATGCTCTGAGGCACGAATGAATCCTTGAACATCGGAAGAACAATAATCCAATATGCTCTCACATTGATCATAAGCATCTAGAACTCTATATTTTACCAAAGTTTGTCGTAGTGTGCTATAAAATATTCCACCTCGGAATGATGTCCCCTGAATGTCTTAGGTGCATCACGACTTCCTCGCATAGGCATGTCCCACACCGTTCGTGTTGAAGATCCGAACGCGGGTGGCGTGGCAGACATCCTTACGGGTTTAATTTCAGGTGATGACGGCACTGATTCAGAGGAATCTGGCGAAGCGCAGTGTTCGTACTCTTCCTCGTCCGT